TTATCTTTCACTACTCAAATACTACACTATTTTCCTGGACTCCAATAAAATGTTTCCTAGGACCACACCTTCCTAATCCCCATACCACTTCCACCTCTGTTGAAATGAAAATTGTGACTCCTTTTTCCTTGACGCTTCTATTTACTGTTTGATATGTATTCCATTTCTCCATTCTGGGAATGTATTTAGTATATTGCTTACTTTTATTTTATAGTTTTATTTAAAAATCAAATTTTGTAATTTTGTCTTGTTCATGGTTATTTTTTACATGTGTTTTAACAACCCAACAATACTCATGTGTGAGAAGAATGTCATTCATCTTGTTCCTCCCACTGCCCAAAGACTTGCACTTAACTAATTCAATAAATATTTGTTTAATGAATAAAAGACCAATCAGTTTAATTCAATAAACGTTGTGAAGAATTTATTGTGTATATAAAATATATTTGATACTGTGAAGGTTACAAAGATTAATAAGATTTCATGTCTTCTATAAAGGATTCTACCATCACGTAAAGAGGACAAAGAGGTAATTCAAAGTAGATTATTATGACAAGTTCTATAAAAGAAGTACAAATGAAATACTGTGTATGCAGAGGTGAAAGGGTGATTAGATTTATTAAAGGTAAGTTTAGGAACTGATTTAAAGGAAGTAGAAGGGAAAATCCATGGTAGGTCATGTTGTTTGTAACCAAACTTTTACATGATTGTATTTTTATTATGAAAGTTAAATAATCAAATATGATGTGATAGTTCATTTTGGTTTTTCTGTATATTTGACATCCCTGAAAGGACAGATAGAAGGACAGTCCGATGACAATTACACATAGAAATATATAGTCTTAGAACACTACCTTCTGACACTCAACTGTTAGAACATCAGTCTACCAATATCTATGTTTTATAATAACATTTTTGCATATAATTTTATATAATCAATTATGCCATTCTTCTGCCAATATGTTCCTATCTAGTGTCCTCTAGATATTTGTTGAATTCAAATGAATTGATAAGCACTGGTGAACTACGCAAAATATTGTTTTGCTTTCTGGTGCCAGAGCAAGTATATTATTTACTAAGTTGTGACTTATCAGAAAGTAATATAGACTTGGCATGGACTTTTAAAAGTGTCTGACAAATATGAGGTCAGGGAACATTTGGTGTTAAACTCCAACTGATGTGAGCAAATAGTTCAGCCATATGTTTGACTTACGTTTTTCAAACCTAGGGGATAACAATTTCAATGTGATTACACTATCTTAGAAAGATAGTGGCATTTACCAAGTCATTTCTTAAAACATCTCCATGAGAAGGCCAGATGAAAGTCACATGAACATACATAAACTTCAGTCAAGAAAAGCACAACTGAAAAGTCACTGAGATAAACTATCTTTCATACTAAATGACCCTCTGTCATTGGACATTGGTCACCTGACCTGTTTATGCTGCTGATATAAGCCACAGTGCCATAGCAATTACTGCTTGTAGTTGCCCCAGTATCAGACCAGGTAAGTTCCATGTACCCTTCATGGAAGATTCTACAAACCCACAGTCTGTGCACACTATCTCCTCAAGTGTTAGAAAACATGTATTGAATTGACTTTTCAGCTCGATATTTACCTTACAAGATAAAAATTTTACTTCACAAGAAGATAAGGAAAAATAAAATTAAAATGTATTTAGTGGAGCCTATGTATTCTCCAAGAAGATAATACTCTGAGATGCTAAAAAGTCAGTATCAGGGATTATTTTCTAGTTACACCAGAAATAGGGCAAGGATATCCTTTATTATTAACAGTGCAAGACTAAAGTCTGTGTTCCTTTAACCATAACCAGTCATCCCCTTTTCAATCCATTACCTCTTTTCATAGGCCCCCAAGATCTACATCTATAGTTACTTGGCTTTCAGTTTGCAGAAAACTGACTTTTCAATTACTTTGGTACTCTCAAGCCTGACTATGAATATCTGGAAAGAGTTGAGGGAGAGAAGGAAACAATTATACATGACTAATTGTGAGTAACTGGGTTAGGGTGGACTAAATTTTCCTGATTGGGTGGATTCCTTCTGCTATCTAGTTTAATAATTAAGCACAAACAAATAAGAAGAGATTTCCACATGAAAATCAAATGCAGGGTTTGAACTTCCCTATTCTTTCCTTACACTGGCCCTTGATCTACCCCTCATTAAGGGACACTTTAGTGGCCACGGAGATCCCCTAAGTCCCCTTTTATTGTTTGCTGTAAATCTTTTCCTCCAGATTCAAGGTGCTTCCTCTTGTTCCTCCCTCCCATTCAGTGTGGTTTTGCCTCCTTCAGCCCTTAATTGGATCCCCTAAATGATGAGGTTAAAGCTGCCTTCTGGAGGCCTTTACATACAATTACACACTCTCTTGGCTTTATCTCCTTCTCTGCCCTACTTTTCTCATTCTCGAGGTTTTTCCTGAGAAAACTTTTTAAATAAATCATTTGCACACGAAATCTCATCGAAGGATCTGCTCTTGGGGAAACTGACCTAAGTCCAATTTACTCTCGAGATACTTAGAAACAAATTGTATATAAAAAATAAAGGCGGTTGCCTTTACATGAAAATGATTTCATGGGCAAACCAAAATACAAACTGGAAAAACACATTTGGAACATTTAAAAAGTCCTAATTTCTTTTATGATGTAAAGAGCTCTTAAGCAACCAATTCAAAATGACCAAAAAATCAGCAAAGACAATATGTATGACTCAAATCTTCTGAAAATAAATTATGATTAAAATGACAATGAGATATCATTTTTGCATAACTCAGATTGGCAAAGACTTTACAAAGTATGGTAATACAGTGTTTTCTTGACTGTGGGAAAGTAAGTACTCAATTTCTGAAAGAAGTGCTAACTGGATGCACTCTCTTTAAGAGTCAGCATCATCTATTACACTTTGGACATGAAAAAAAATTCTGTAATATCAGCTTTCACGGGAAATTTTTTATTATTTGTTTGTCTGCTTCCTCCTGCTAGAATGCAGGCTCCATGAGAACAGGGCTAGCTCTGTGTGGTTTATTACAGTATCCTTCACACCTAGGGTTTGGCAAGAAATTAAGGCCCCATTAACATTTGTTAAATTGTTAAATTGTTGCATCAATAATTTGAGTAGTTGGCACCTATGGTATAATCTGAGATGCTCCATGATCCTAGAACATTTCCTTAATATCCTTCTGTGATGTCTGACATTCTCACTTAGGCAATCAATGAAAACATAGAGTCAATTAAAATGCACTAACATGATTATAGTAATATATAATATAAATATATCTATATGATTATATAAGTATAAATATGTAATATAAACTATTACAGTGTGAAAATCTGCATGGAAGTAAATTAGCTAAGGAATTGGAGCAAGAGAGAAATACATTTTAATTGTGGTTTTGGGCCAGAAAAGATCAAATAATTTGGTATAACTTAATTAATTGATAAGAATTTAATTAATTAATTTAATGGGTGGATGCACCTTGGCTATAGGGTGAGGAGCCTTATGTGGTTTGTAGAGATTATAGTCAAGAGGATTCCTAACATTAAGATTCTGAAGTACGGAGGAGAAACCAGAAATCAAAATCACAGCAGGCAGAGTACTTGCAAATGTACTATAGAGAAGTGAAAAAGCAGAGAAGTGAAGGCATCAGAACAGTCCAAGCGCTGAGAAGCAGCAGGTTGCTGCAGGAGCCTGGAAGCCAGCAAGCCCTGTGGCACAGGTGCATGAAAGACGATGGGAAGTCCACGGTGTTACTGCTGGATGAGGAAGGGAGGCAATGGAGGTAGTGGCAGATTTAAAGGGACATATGACAAAATGACAAAAATAATGGAGATTCCCCAATGTTGCCATTAAGGATATAGAAGCGGACAGAGCTGAGGTGGGTACCAACCTCCGTTCCTTCTGGTAACACTGTTTTCATTGCTCAGGGGCAGCCAGGGCTACCCTTGACTGTGGACAGCGACACCACAGGAAACTGAGGGGTCCTCAGCACAGACTGGTTTTAGCCAAACCTATGGTTTGGGTCCTTGGTTCCAGCTACACCCCTTGTGGCACTTTCTAGAATTTTCTCTCCCTCAGATTTTGAAACTTTATATATTTGAAGATGGCCAGAAGCATCTCTCAAGCCAGCATTTTGATGGAACACATCTCTTGAACTGAAGAACTCAGCTGGTTAATTTTTCTCAACTGAACCACTGAACTAAGTAAGGCTCTTTAGGGCTTTGCCAATGAAGTAGATACGGATCTGAAATCTGAATCCAAGGGATGAGACTGAAACTTGCTTGGTCTAGGGTAAAAAGTTGAGTGGTTATCTGTTAAATGGGGATAATACATGTGCCTACCTCATGGAGTAGTATTAGGATTAAATGTGTCAATATATGTAGAGTGAGAGAAAAATCAGAGAGGAAAGGAAAGAAAGAAAAGTAAAAATGGTCGTGACTATTCAACTCTCTCTTTAGATTTAGGACTCGGGCTAGACTTAGGCTAGTGCCCTTTGTTCTGGTTCCACATTTGTGCTTTTTTTTTTTTGAGACAGAGTCTTGCTTTGTTGTCCAGCCTGGAATGCAATGATGCAATCTCTGCTCACTGCAACCTCTGCCTCCTGGGTTCAAATGATTCTCCTGCCTCAGTCTCTTGAGTAGCTGGGATTACAGGCACATGCTGCCATGCTGAGCTATTTTTTTTTATATTTTTAGTAGAAATGGGGTTTCACCATGTTGGCCAGGCTGGTCTTGAACTCCTGACCTTATGATCTGCCCACCTTGGCCTCCCAAAAAGCTAGGATTACAGGCATGAGCCACAGCGCCTGGCCCCTTCATTTGTGCTTTATATCACAATTTGTAGGTCAGTATGAGTGGAGGCGGACGTCACCCACTCTTCATTGTGTTTTTCTGAGGAAGTGACTTTCAGTTAATCACTGTTGGCCAGATTAGCAGGTACTATAACCAGGTGATGAAAGACCCCATAAATAATTCAAACTCACCTTTAATTTAGATAAAATGTTTGTTCCTTAGTTTAAAGGACTTCTAAGTTCTTCCATCCCATGATGTGAGAAGTTAGTAAATAATATAGTACTTCCATTTTCCTGATAAAAATTGAGTAAATTAAGTCAAAACATGAAACATAATTGCCAGGCTGACACCTCTAATTATTTAGGGTAAATGAACAAAAAATAATGGTTGAGTGAATAAAATTAAGAAATGAGGCAACCATTTTGTTAAAGTTATCTCGATCACTGGGAGCTAACTAAATGTTTAACTTTGAAGATATTTAAACTGTGAGCTTTAAATTCCTTTTTTAAAAAAGTGAGGTTGACTCTGTCAGCAAAATATGATGGTTGATTATACAGGCAGAAAGATTTCCATTATCTACATACTGTACTAGACAATTAAAATATTATCTCCCTTCTGTAGAAAATGTCTGTGTTTGTGTCATATTTATATCTTTATAAGATGGCCATTTGTCGGCTTAAAGACAGGATAAGGAACAGCCTTAGAATTAGCTAGAATTGGGTTTTGTAGATTTGGACTGGTGGGCAAGTTATTAAATTTTTTCTAATGCTTATTCTCTCATTTGACAATTGAGGATGATAATTCTTACCTCAGAGTGTTGCTGCAATGTTTAAATCAATAATTAACTGCTTAACTCTATGGAAAATCTGCAGATGACTTCAAAATCAGTTGTTGATTGGCTGATTTTAGAAATTTGGTAGATATTGCTTTAACGTTAACCTGTCTCAATGAAATTTTAATGAAAGACTTGCTGTTTGTGTTTTAACATTTAAAATCATAACAAACACCACATATTTGGTTAAAACAGTTTAGGCCATTAATAAATGTTACTTGCAGCACAGATTTTTGAAATTGTGGCTGTTGCATGTTAAGAGCAAATAAGCCACACACAACTGCATAACAGCAATATTTTTTGCCAACCATAAACATTCATTAAGTACCTAAAGTACTAATTACATGCAACCTTGGGAGAGTCACTGCTCTGTAATTATCTTTACAACTGAGCATGTGCCTTTTGAAGTTTCTGTTTAACCTTCTGAAGTTATATTGCTATTTCTCTGGTTCTTTAGTTTTTAATCAAAAGAGTAGATTTTATAAAGAACTTGTCTCCATCTCCCAGCCTCATGTTTGGTCCAAAGTCTTCAAAAATTCTGAAGTGGAACAGCCCCCAATCCTAATAAATATTCCATTTGTTTTTTTGTGATAGAGTCTTGCTCTGTTGCCTGGGCTGGAGTTTAGTGGTGCAATCTTGACTTACTGCAACCTCTACCTCCCAGGTTCAAGAAATTCTCCTGCCTCAGCTTCCTGAGTAGCTGTGATTACAGGAACATGCTGCCATGCCTGGATAATTTTTGCATTTGTAATGGAGAGCGGGTTTCACCATGTTGGCCAGGCTGGTCTCGAACTACTGACCTCAAGTGATCCTCCTGCCTCAGCATCCCAAAGTGCTGGGAGTTGAGCCACCACTACACCTGGGCTTATTGGGTATTGTTTCTAGCTGATTTCCCTCAGAGTTCCTTCTTTTCCTGTGCCTTTTCCTAGTGGGTGAGTCTCAGGGACACTCCCAACTTGTCATCAACTAGTCAGATGATCAGTCGCCTATTGTTTTAGCATTGAGTTCCTGTTTCTCTTGTCTCAGGTGAGAATCATAGAGCACGCCTATTTTCCTGTGTTCTTTGTGAGGAGGCAAACACAATTACCTGATCTTCTCATTCATAAGTGTAAATGTGCTTATGTTATCATGGGCTGGTGTAAGGGGGAAGAGAGAACTACAAATATTAATACATCTTTATAATGTCAACAAAAGGCTGAAATTGCATGTGCCATACATTGATGATATGTGTTATATGCTAGATGTATTATTTAATCATAGCAATAAAAGCAATATTGGTTATTAATGTTGCTCAGAGCTCGTAGACGTAACAAACATGCTAATAGCTAAAGTAAGTTGCTTTGAGTTTAGTACTAAGAAATAATCTTGTTAACTATTGTTTCCTTGATTTTTGGTAATTGTTCTTCCTCTCCTTTTGTGCAATGAAAATACAACCAGCCTGTTTCTCAGACTAAGCGTAACTACCAAACACTGCAAAAATATCTGGATTCTACATTAACAGTGTGTTTTGCCACTATTTGTTTTAAATGTCACTTACTTAAATATTACATACTTATTCCACAAATCCAATTTAAAAGACTGAAAACTTTCCAGGTAAGTCACACTTTATAAGTCAGGAAATTATTTCAACTGGGTTGAGGGAAGGAAACTTGAAGTCTGAGTTTGAATAGGGTGTATTTTTAGTGGACTCCCTCACAAAGTTGCAAAGAGGTAGTCAAATTAATGCAATGTACCCTAAGGCTTGAGTCAGTCTGACTTGCTGACAGAGTCATGATCCATGAAGACTTCCTTGAGTAGGTTCCGTCTCAGAAGCACACTGCGTAGTGATACTCACCATCACTGAGGCACACAGCACCATCATCAGATCTGGCTCCACTAGTGTGCTGAGTACTCATTTCCGCCCGAACAATTCCTTAATAGCTCACATATTTTGACTACTTTTTGTCTCTTAACTTCTTAGGAAAGTTTTAACGTTAGCAGTTTTGTGAATTATTAAATGGTCCTAGGCTTGGCCCCTCTTTTTTGATGCTTTTTACTGCCATTCATACAGGCGTGGGTGGTCACAAGGGACAATATTACTACTAGTAATAACAGGAACAACTTACATTTATGGAGTACTTTCTTTTTGCCAGGTGTAAAGGACAAACACTTACTCTCTTAAGTTCTGGGGCTGGGGCCCATGAATTGAACTGATAAAAGACAGATTAAGAGGAGAAAAGCATATATATATTTAATATTTTTATTGCACATAGAAGCCTTTGTAAGAAAAATGAAGACACAAAGAAACAATGAGGGCCAAGAGTTTTAAACAAAGAATGATAAATTGTGGAGAAATGATAAGACAAAGGAAAAAGGGTTTAAACTTCAAGAAGCTGTTATTTGTGGGAAAGTGACTAGAAAATACATGAGAAAATCTAATGGAAGATAAGGATTATTTTAGTAGTTTTGTTTGTACCGATCCATTTCAGTATGACCCCCAGTCTCCAGTGATAAGATGTTCTCTTCGTAAAACAGGGAGAGCCTCTCACATGGAAAATTTTATGTCTTCCTGAGGCAGAAATAAGACAGAGAGCCCTTCCTGCCTCTGCTGTTGCTCAATTATCTTCAGCCCAAAATAATCAACATGCCAGGTCAAGGGCAGTTGCTCATGCATGCAATCCCAGCATTTGGGGAGGCCAAGGTGGGTGGATCACCTGATGTCAGATGTTCAAGACGAGCCTGGCCAACATGGCAAAGCCCTGTCTTTACTAAAAACACAAAAATTAGCTGGGCACAGTGTTGCCTGCCTGTAATCCCAGCTACTCATGGGCTGAGGCAGGAGAACTGCTTGAACCTGGAAGGCAGAGGTTGTGATGAGCTGAGATTGTGCCACTGCAATCTAGCCTGGGAAACAGAGCAAGACTCCAGCTTAAATAAATAAATAAATAAATAAATAAATAAATAAATAAATAAGCAAAATAAAAATAATCAACACACCAAAGTAGCATATTTTGGGGTAGCATGTTCTGAATTACTTCATTTCCCCCATCTGAAAGTTTACCATAAGTTTCTCATAGTAAAATCTGAATTAGTGGCTGTGGAGAGAAGGATCAGTTTAGTAGCTGAGTGATAGATCTTCAAAAGAAGAATATATAGATTAGAATGAGAATAAATAAGCAGAAAAGCGCAAATCTAAGCACATTTTTCTATATCCCATTAAACTAATCTCTCAACTCTGGGAATAGGTCAGTTTAATAAAATGTTGAGCCTCATTATCTTAGAATGTTAATCTTTTTCATTCAAAGGTATAAATCAGACAACATTTGTCCCACCTGATTCACAGAGGCAGCATTTTTCATCAACCACACAAGATAAAACGACCAGTGTTGTTCATGAATAAAAAGTGGAACCTGCAATTCTCCACACCTCGTGTGTTTCACAACTTCTGTTATTGGTCATATTAAAGTCTCCACACCTTCATTTTCATGTGCTTTTGTCAGTTTGTAAAAGCAGAAAGTTGTGAAATGTTTGACATAAGAGACCTGCAATCTGGCTTTGGTAGCTAAAAGGCTTGACTTTGTCACCTGACCGAGTTAATCCAGATTTTTTATCTATTTACGTAAAATTTCTGTTGTTAAATAGCCTAATCAGGAGAGCAACGAAGCTACCCCACCCGGGTTGTGCAAGAGTGGCCTATGAACCAGCCAGAACATTTGGTGATTTGGCAAAATTTCATGCCACAAAGGTAGTTCTGGAATCACTTATTGTTACCAGACAGAGAATCTTGACTGTGAGTTGTCCAGGTTCTTGGGGTATTAAACAAGGAATTGAGCAAAATGCACAATCAAAGCAGCAAATGAACAAAGCAACAATAGCTTTGATTGACGTGAACATGGCCTGCACAGAGCAGGAGCAAGCTTGAGCAAGTGGCTCAAGAGCCTGATTGCAATGATCTTCAAGGCTTTAAATTAAACTAAAATAATTTGGTAACACCCCCTAGGTACTCCTTAGAGGCTTCCGATTGGTTACGCCCTATACAAATGAAGGACTGACCTGAGACCAAGCAGAAACTGCAGTGGAGGCTGGTCTGTGACCAGTCAGAGGCTGAAGTGGAAGCTCAGCCCTGTAACCAATCAGAGGCTGAAGTGAAGGCTTGGCTCACAATCAGAGACATTTTTACATTTGTGAGGTAGGGAAGGGGGGTTTTGTAGAGGGCAGGGCCTCTGGCCCTTTTTCGCTTGGGCATGGAGAGGTGGGGTTTTCCTTTTGGTCCAACTGCAAGAAATCAGCCACAGTTTGTCCTCAGGCTCCCTGTCTCCCGACTCTATTCTCCACCTCATTATGACCTCCATGAAGAGTTTGAGGCTGTGGTGTATGGAGTCAAACTGCAGGGTTTGACTGCAATATTGTCTTGGCTTGTTCCTTAGGAAGAGTTCAGTACCATGTCTGTTTTTCATTGGAAAAGTTTGGAACTCGCCAGAAAAAAAAGTAGAGTGACGTTTTTCTGGCCATGGATACCATATTCTTTCATTCATTTATCTTCCATAGTTGGTCCACCTGGCACCCCGTGAACAAGAATAAAAACTAATTCAGGTTTTTTCATGCTATCCCGATGCTGACATAAACAATAAATATATTGGTTAGTTGACATGACCAAGGTTTGAGAAACTGGTGTGAGGGTGGTGTCAGGTTTGTGTGTAACCTGTTAAGAAAACAGTGACATTAATATGAAAGAGGCAGCACTTGAAAGACAACTCATAGTGGAGGATCAGAGAGAGAAGATTAGAGTGAGACAAGAAATCTCCATTCAGCTTCTCAATAAATGGGAGGTTTTGTTTAAAAAGATTCCCCTTCTATTCCCCCCCCACACACACCAGGGAGGAGAGAAACTTAAAGGGGGAAAATAGATGAAAGCAAAGTTTTTTGATCTGCAATCTTGAGGAAAGCTGTTTGCTTTGTGGTGTCATCTTGCTTCTAGAACCTTGGCTCTGAAATCCTTTCTATGAGGTCACCTGTAGGGGTGGTCTTCCAGTTGTCCTGAGAGTGATGACTGGGTCTACCTTGATGTAGCTCACACGAATTCAGCAAGTGTGATAGCAGTGTAGGTGGTTAGCGGTACTTCACAAGGTCATTCCTAGCAAGGTAAGAGTACACGATTTTTCTAAAAATCTTGATGTATACCTGATCTCCTGGTTGAAAGAGATGACCTGATGGATTTTTTTCCCTATAAGTTCTTTTAATTTCTAGATTTTTATGTTCCACTTGTCCTGATGATTGAGGATGATATGAAGAAATTTTAGTGAGTACTCCAGAGATTTTGTGAGTGAGTGGTTTATTTCTACTAAAAAATGAATTCGTTTGTCTGATTCAATCTGTAAAGAAATGCCAAAATGAGGAATAACCTCCAGTTGTTAATCTCTTTACCACCATCCTGGTGTTAGCATGTCTACTTAGAAGGCATCCAGCCTATCTACTAAGCACGCAGACAATAACCAAACACAGGAATAGCCTAAAGCTGGAAGCAGATCTCTAAAATCCATTTTAAGTGTTATAAAAGGCAGTGTGGGCCTTGGAGAATTCCGAAAATTATGTTAGCTACCTCCAAAACAATGCTTACATCTACAAGTAGTACTTTGGTAAATACTTTGATCAGAAATTTTGAGAATGTCAGGGTTATTTACACATATGCCTCATCTGATGGGAGATAAGTAAAAATCAAACGTCAAAAGAAAATGGACTAAAGGAAGACTGTTTGGCCCATTGCATAATCCATCTGCTAATTTGATGGATTATGACAGACTCCAAAGGCACTTCTGGAGTTGTGCAATAGTGGCAGTTTTCCCTTTTACCAGTGTACAAACTCTAGTAAGTGCTCTGAGTTTAGCAGCATGGACTGATTTTACAGTGGGCAAAAAGTACGGCTCAAGTGTTCCATGTGGGAAAACTATGGTATAACCACCTATTATGTTCCCTGGAAATTTTATTCACAAAAGCCATGAAGAAATGGCTGAGGGGTATCTAAGAGGGTATCTAAGATATCCTCTTGTGGCTTTGAGACAAATGCTGTAGTTGCAAAGCAATCATGTAGACTTTCCATCATTGGGGAGGGGTATTAGTGTGGCTGGATTTAAATCGACACAATAGAGTGGTTATGGTGGCTCACATCTCTAATCTCAGCCCCTCAGGACGCCAAAGTGGAGAGATCAGTTGAGCTCAGAAGTTTAAGACCAGCCTGGGCAGCATGGTGAAACCCAGTTTCTACAAAAACCAAGAAAACTAGCCAGGTGTGATGGCATGTGCATGTAGTCCTAGCTACTCAGTAGGCTGACATGAGAGGACTACTTGAGCCCAAGGAGGTCAAGGCTATAGTGAGCTGTGATAGCGCCTCTGCACTCCAGCCTGGGTGACAGAGTGAGACTCTGTCTCATTAACAAAAGAAAAGGGGGTTACAATGATGTAAGATGATGGAGGGATTGGTTAATAGGGCCTGTGTTGTATAGGTGGTCTGCTGCTATGCAGAGAGGTACTGTGAGGTGCTATGTCTTACTAAGTCATAAGAGAGTGAACACAGAATACGGGAATGGGAAACATGGAGGTAAGGGGGAACCTAATGTAAGAGTACTGAATTGGCCCATTAATGCACCAGCTGTGGCTTCTTCACGCAGGAACGCGGACATGCCTGATACCATAGGGTCTAATTGACTTGAGAATGTGAAAGGAAAATAAAAACTCAGGACCCCAATTCACCATGCCAAAAGGAAAAAACAAATTAAGCTGAAATGTGAGTCACGAAAGAAACTGCCTTTTCGTTTTTTCCTAAGCAGATAGCTAGAGATAGAACGATAACTATCTCCACAGATAGTTACTCTGTGTTCACTTAATCTTATGTAAAGTGCGGATTTACTGAGTGCTAAAGGAATACATAATTGACTTTTTCCCTATCTACTTCTTTTCCCTTGCAACATGTGGATTATCATACCTTCCCTCTTTCCCTGCTGGCCTGCTTTTCCCTTTTAAATACTGAAGCCCTCAAATTCATTTTTGGGAAAAGACACAGACCACAGACTGTTTCTGTGATTCCATGTTTATTTTTTCTGGGCATATCCTTTACTTTGGCAAGATAAATTTCATTTTGATTGAGACCTGTCTCTGATACTTTTTGGTTTACAGGAAACATAGTATAGGACATATCTGTTGACAAAAAGCGTCAAACTCTGAAAATAATTGAAAAGATTTATTCTGAGCCAGATATGAGTGACCATGGCCTGTGACACAGCTCTCAGGAGGTCCTGAGAACATGTGTTCAAGGTGATTGGGGTTCAGCTTGCTTTTATGTATTTTAGGAAGGCATGACACAATCAAATACATTTAATAAGTACATTGGTTTGGTTTAGAAAGGCAGGACAACTCAAAGTGAGGGCTTCCAGGACATAGGTAAATTTAGATGTTTTTTGGTTGACAATTGGTTGGTGTCTGAAGACCTGAGATTGCTAGAAAGGAATGTTCAGGTTAAAGATAAAGGGTTATGGAGACCAAGTTTTATTGTGCAGAGGAAGCTCTCAGATAGCAGACTTTAGAAAGAGCAGGTTGTAAATTATTTTTTATAGGATTTAAAAGGGCGCCTGGCTCTTAGTTGATTATCTGCTGGATCTTGGAAGGAAGGAAGAAAAATAAAAAGGGAAGGGGATTCTCTATAGAATGTGGGTGTCTTCCCACAAGACAGTTTGCAGGGCAATTTTAAGGTATGGCAAGGAAGGACATTTTTGGGGTTAAATGTTTCTTTCCTTGTCTCATAATGTTATGCCAGTCAGACTGAAAAGTAAGCCACAATATAGAGGGTTCAGTAAAACCCAACTGATGAGAATTTACGGTTTGCAGGGCATGACTCCCTAGACCCCTTAAGTAGGAATTTGCGTAAGATAAAAAAGTCAGAGCTTAGTCCTCATATCCAAGAGGCAAGAGGTTGTTTTGAATACCCAAAACAATCCTATTATTTTTCTGTCGATATAGGTGAAAAGTTTGTCAAAATTGGGTAAGCAAAGAGCTGACTATGGGAGAAGTCATCATTTTAAGGCTTTGAAGGAGCTCAATGCCTCCAGGAGCCAGGAAATGCCCTCTGAAGTAACTTCGGGATGAGGGCAAATAGAGGTTTAGCATGGGCAGCAGAAGTAGGAATTTATTGGTGATGACAGCTAGCTGCCCCTAGGAATTTATGCAGTTGTTTTTTTTTGTTTCTAGGAGAGGGACAGGCAAAACTGATAGGCATTTTGTGCTGTTTTTAGTGCTCTGAGATATCTCATGTCCTAAGCAGGTAACAGTTTTTTCAAATAATTGGGTAGAAGCTTCAATAATAATTTTGAAGAGACTGTCCTGCGCAGAGCTATTTTGGATTTGCTTCCTTATTCCAGACAGAGAATTTCCAATTAAGGTGCAAATAATAAGGTTTTTATGTTCTGGGGCTTGGAGGTTAAATGCAGCATGCCTTTGGAAAGTCTGTATACAGCATTCCACCAAAACCTTGGCATCCCTTTCTTCCTGAGTGCACTTTTCAACTTTAGACCAATTCACCTTGGTGGGAAAGGTCTCCACTCTCACTTTTACGAGGCTGTAAATATCAGCTGCCAGTTGAGTCATTTCCTGGTCATTTGCAGGAGGACTTGGGAGAAGCTCTGGCTACCTGTTTTCTTTTCTTGTGTTTGTTGCAGGGGTGGGGGTTGGGGCGGGGAAGGTTTTTGTCCCTAGGGGTTTGTCAGGCTTGACTGGTAACTACTGTATCATCTTGACTAGGAAGAGCCAGCCAAGGTCCCTATAAGGGGAGTTGTATATTGTCACTAACTTTTCTAACTTCTCTCTATGTTTGATAGGATCTTCTGAAACATGTGTGGTGGGGTGTGGTATAAAAGGCCTTTTTATTTTAAAAGATCTGTTGCTGTCCAGAGAACGTGAATTCTTCGCTGTAGGGGTTAAGGATACACCACAAAAGGAATTTCATGGGAAGACTTGGAGCTGATGGGGTCTGATATGTCGATCCACAGAGTAGATGGAATTATAAGGGACGATGCAATGAGCCCTGCTTTGTGTCTCTGGGGCCTCTGAC